TATTTCCTTGTAAGAATTCAGCTGCGAATTTAGTCTCTCTCTGAAGTAGGCAGAGATAGTAATTCAGTGTATTTGACTTTAAAGTTCCATTCATCCTTCAATGAGCTCTCCTTTATAATCTTTTATTTCTCTTACTTGGGCTGAATTCCAGAGGCTCTTACAATAGGTATTGCAGCTCGTTTGCGCATTGGCAGAAGAAACAAACCCATTAGTCACTAACAGCAGGGGTATGCCTCAGCTCTCAGGCTCCCTTTGATCATTTTTCTGTCTCCAGTAACTCAACCAGATTCTCTTTTCTAAAGTTTTCTGAAGCAAAATTGGCTTTTGTGGTTGGGGGAAGGGAGAGACTTTTACCTGAAGCCTTCGTTACACGCGCTCCTCAGGTGAGACGCAGGCATCTCGGCTCACTCTTTTTGCATTAAGCAGTATCACATGAATGAAAATAAACAAGCAAGTGTGACATCTTCAGCATTTTGCAATGCTAATGACAGTAATGTGGCAGTTCCTCTTAACTTAGAAATTGGGTAGGCTGAGTACTTCCTCCTGCCAAAGCATGATATGGAAGAAGATTCTCGTTCTTCTTGAGGCTTGATAATTCACATTAAACACCTGCTGATTGTCTTGTTATACTTGTTAAAGTAAGATCCCTGCTAGCTACTCTCTCCAACTGAGTTAATAATTATCTTGGAAGTCATATGCTTTTGTTAATGAGACTCAATATTGTACTTTTAATTCAGGAGGGTGGTCCTCACAGTTGCATTCGTATTCTGAAAAAATTCAAGAGCTAATCCTTCTTCAGTTAAGTGTCACAGTCCAATTCATAGGAGTGATTGTCTCAAGGTAAAATTATTTTTGTCATCAGCACTGAGGTCCGCTGGACTGACACTGTGTTTTAGCCAATACTTTCACAGTAGAAGTCTCCTCCATGCCTTCTCCGTGGTCATAAAAAGAAAAAAAAAAAAAATGATATCTAACATTCCAGCTGTTGCACGTTAACAATTAGTGTTGACCTTGTTTTTCACTGAGAAGGTCCACTGCTGTGGAAATCTCTTTGTAGTTGGTCTGTGGGCTTGAACATAGACATGAATATGACAGAGTATGGTTCAGTAAAGTCATAAACATTAAAACCAATGGATGAATGCGGATACCTGACAGAGTATTCCTCATTTTATGAAGAGAACTGTAGTGGAACTGTCTGTAGGTTGTGGGAAAACAGCAGTGATGCTTAGGAGTTTACCATGAATGTGGTATATAAAGTTCCTATGATTCTTGCTGTCTGATGCTATCAGACCCCATTAAACATGTCATTATATTCCTTTTAAGATATTCCACCCTTGGTGGCTGGACCCATCTCAGGTTGCACATGGGTAAGAAGCAGTGTGTCTGCACCCGTTGGTGCCTGGACACCAGACTCAGCACAAAGACTGGAGAAGGTGTTCAGCATTTAGGAAGGCACATGCTGACCAAGCAGCCACTCCTCATCTCCTCTGGGAAAGCTTTAATTCTGGTCCTCACCATTTCCCCATCTTGATTACTGTGAGATTCACCTCTTGTTGGGTTTTTGATGGCACAGCTTTACAAGCGTATTTTGAGACAGTTTGTCATTCATCTATATCACCTTTCTTTGTTTTTTTCCCTACCATGCCATCTGCACATCTGTAAACAAAAGGACCTCACTGGTCCTGAATTACAGCATCTCTCCTGGCAAGCTCCCCTGTGCCTTGCACATCTGCCTTTCACATTTCCAGAGATACCAGCTGTGAATTAGCTTTTGTATCTTTGTCCTACAAACTTCCCAACCTCCCTCCCCTCCCTGGTTACTTTTCACTGTAATTTCCAGCTGTTTAAGGATTTTGCTGAAAACTGTGGTAATGCTTGAATCAAAATTCCCTTGGTTAGAGGGGCCCCTAAGTGCTGGTGTGATACAGTGTTCTGATGGAAACGGTGTGCTGAACGACCTCTCTGGTCCTCCCCATTTTTGTCTGGGAACAATTTTGAACTGACAGCAATTTATTACTTTTTTTAATGTGTTGTCGTGGAATTTTTTTTTCTGTAGGGTCAGAGCAAATTTTTGCAGGTCTTTTACCCTGTTTATAGCTGGAACCTGAAAAAGCCCAGACTGGGGTCTGGCTGATGGAGCAGAAAAGAGGGGTCAGCCAGGGCGTGTATTTACAGTTAGGGAAATAATCACATCGCTGGTGTGAGGGCGGCTTAATTAATTAATTTACATGCCTGCGAAGAGGGAGCTTTAACTCACACTTCAGCTCCCGTGTCTGGCACTCAGAGCTTTTCGAGCGGAGCTGGAGCCTGTCATTTTGAAAAGTTTTGAGTGTCACCCAGAGAAAAAGACTTAGCTGGTACATCATAACATTTTCCTCTCTGGGGACGTAAAGTTTTAGACAGAGTAGAATTGACTAACTTCAGGCCTTCTATGTTAATTTCTGTTAATTAGCTGCCATTTCGTGTTATAGCCGTTACTATTTTCAATTAGCTGTCAGCAAATATTTTCAGTGCAACTTTTCTGTTATTGAATGGATTTCCCACAAGTTTGGACTTACAAAAACAAACATGTATTTACTGCCACAACACCACGATAGTCAGGATTTCAGCAGTAACCTAACAAACTGTGAGACTGTGTAGTGGTAAGGCAGGAGGACAGCTTAGCTTCTTGAGCAGACTCTTGACTTAAGTAGGCTTGTCATCATAGTCACTTGACTCTTTATACCACTGTGGTTTGCAGAGATTATTTTATCATTATTAGTTGTAAACCTTTTATGTCCTCCCCACACTTTCTTTCATAGATGACTGCTAGCAGGTTGAAGAAAACGTCTTTTTTTTTTGTGAAAGCTGAGCGATGTTCTATGCAGAAAACAAGAGTTTCCTGAACCTAGCTAGTACTTTCTATGCATTAAGAAATTTACCCCCAAAAAACCATTTTGTTGATATTTTTGACCAGTGTTTAAATAAGTGTGTCATCATCTCTGTTTCTGTATACTACAGTCGGTACCGTCTGGCATCATTGATTATTTTATCTGTGGAGTCAGCAGAAATCCTGAAAAAGGTTTTTCTTTGTTAACCTGTGCTCTTGCCGAGAGCTTAGCCAGTTTAACTGGAGCAGAACAGAAACAAAGGGGATCAGCCTCTAAGTGGGACAAAAGTTATTTATTGCTGAAAGTCTGTAACAGGAGAATTGGCAGAATTGGCTTTTTGTTTGCTGCAGAAGCTCTGAAGTTCTCCCGGAGCGGTGAAGTGGAGAGGCTGAGGTCCCCGGCGGTGTTGCTCTCACCGGGTGGAAAGGCAGATTCGCCACCATGTGTGCAGCCTTTCGGTGTTATAAATGCTATTTTGGAAAGTGTAGTGAGTGGGAACTGGATGGCTGCGTACACTGGTAATGAGCTGCGGGTCCTCTTCCCACACCCCCTCGCCGGTGACTGACAGATGGCACGTTGGTGGCGTTGCGGCACGGGGATGGTCCCCGTCCGGCTCTCAGCAGACAGCCATCCCTGTCACGAGGCGGCGATCCCAACAAGTGAGAATTGCCAACCCTGGTGACAGCCTACGTGTCGTTGGGAGGACAGGCTCCACTCTCCAAATGAGTTACGGGCTGATTTGGGGGATTTTACGTTGCCACTATGTACTGCCATACCATTTATTTTTCTGTAAATAAGGGGTTTCAGTCCCTAAGGCTGTCAGTCTGCTTCCTTCACCTGCATCAGGTTTTAAAAGTGCACTTAAATACAGGAAATGGAAGAGGTTGTTTACCTTTCTTATAGAAAATGCTGTGGCTTTTCTGCAGATCTCAGTACTAAATCGGGGTTACCATAAGTTTAGACTTCTTGTCACAAAGCGGGGACAATGGCCAGGGATATTATTCCCAGAAAATTATGCTTTGCCTAAGGATTGGACATCAGGACTCTATGATTTGCAAGTGAACGCAGAAACATTTAAGGAAAAATAAAGCATCGAGGAGTTCACCAGCAAAGCAATCAATGTGCAATGATTGGTGTGAGCAGGGAAGGGTGTGTAATACCTTAGCTCATTATCATCAAAAATTGCTACTGTAGGAATTGGTATGTTAGCATGTGTAGCTGAAAGCGAAATTTGAACTTCTTTCATGCAAACAGAAGTAACTTTCTGCCTTATTTCTTTCTCTTTAAAAAATGCAATCGAAATATTGAGGGAGAAGTTTGAAACATATTGATTACATTTTGAAGGCATATTATTAAATCTCTTGAGTGCTTGTTGATCTTGGATCATTTCATTTTCACAGTATTTCAGACTGAAAATTATTAGTAATTCTGTTTAAGTTTCAGCTAAATTACTAATTAACTTCTGTCTCAAAGATTTTATTTCTTACGTGTTTCTGGCAGCGCAGTGTACTCTTTACACAATGCAGCAGAATTTTTTTGCTACCTGCCTCTCTCTGCCCCTTACAATCATATAAAGCAGTTTTGGAATTAATGAGCTGTCAAATCTCAGGTAATGAATGAAAAGAACTGACAGAAATTCTTTTGTTGTTTAAGAAATTCCAAATAATTAATAGGAAAAAAGTGACAGAGATTCTTTTAGTGTTTAAGAAGAAATGCATCTTTCAAATTCATTGTGTGACTGAAGAAATTTTAAAATATGTTTGCAAAAAAGAAAGGATTCTGCTTAATGGGTTAATTCTAGTTCTCTCTTCTGAGATAAACTTGCAGAATTTGAGATAAAAAGATTTTATCTTTTGAGAAATAGATTTCTAATCCTCAGGTTCCCCATTCCAGGTTCATCTCAAAAGTAAAAAAAATCTTCCTGATTCTTTTATTTGCCATTGTGGGCGTATTTGAGTTAGGCGCTAGCATTGCTATAGTGAGCATGTCTTGTGTACAGAGGAGACTATGTAAACTGCAGGTTAGGTTTGGGGAGGGAGGGGTGTTTCCTTATGTTTTATGTTTTTTTCCAATTTATGAAGTCCCGCTGTACCCATTCAGAATAATGCCTCTGCTGCTGTTGTTTTTCAGGTTACCGTCTCAGATGGGGGCACCTCTCCCAAGCAGTCCTCCGTTTGGGTGGTGGTCCAGGTTCTGGATGAGAATGATAACAAACCTCAGTTTCCAGAGAAAGTCTATCAGATCAAGCTGCCAGAGAGGGACCGTAAGAAAAGAGGGGAGCCGATCTACAGAGCTTTTGCTTTTGACAAAGACGAAGGTCCTAATGCAGAAATCTCCTACAGCATTGTGGATGGAAATGATGATGGGAAATTTTTTATTGATCCCAAAACAGGGATGGTTTCTTCCAGAAAGCAGTTCACAGCAGGGAGTTATGACATCTTAACAGTAAGTGCTCTTCCATTGACATATGAGCCCGTGTGGTTTAGAAACAGGCCCACTTGTATAAAGAGTGATATATGACTGTGTTTAAACTATGACCTGTATGGTTTGACCAAGGTCAAAAAAAGAAAGAATAAAAGATGGTGGTGCTGATGCAAAGTAATATAAGACTTGAATGTGCACTCTTCATCTACAGCAATAAGGCCGTAAGTCGTAGTTAAGGAGTTGACAGAAACATGTCAGAGGTCCATGCTCTGGCCTGTAGTAAAGGTAGCGATGTCGCTTCCAGTAATGGGTCTCTGTTGGGATACCTTCATAGGGTTGAAAACTGACAGGAAAATGAATAAATATCAAAATACTGAGAAATACCTAGTAATCAGTGTAGAGCACCCTTTGGGTGAGTGATTGCCTTTCCCTGTGCCGAGCTGGAAGTCACGTCTGGGATCTGGCCCTTATTATAATGCAACAGCTGAAGGTTTTCTACCTTGAAACTGCTCATCACACCCTCAGCATCTTTTCAGTAAGGGCCAGCCCGCCTTGATTGGAGTGTTAGCACCAAACCCACTTAACATATTTCCAGAGAAAGAAGTAAAGTATGGTATTTCAGGAAAATATTTCCCATTTAAACCAGCATAGTAACAGCATATTTACACCAGTGGTCCTATATAGCCAGAAACATTTCCTTTAGTTTTAAAAGAAAAACCCTTTGACTGACATTGGTGTTGCCCACCAAAGCACCCATTTTGTAACCTACATTCTCCCTTTCCTTATACCCAGTGTTTATTGCTGCTCATCTTGTCCTTTCTGTGCTAAAACCATAAAGCATGCCAGGAAAATAGCAAGTGTAACCATCCCTCTAGAGGACATTATAATAAAAAGAATTAGCACCAAGCTGGGCAACTCTTAATGAGCACAACAGAGATGAGAAAGCAAGGAAAATAAATATGGCAAAAATTTAAATTGTATTTGTTTTGGAGAATGGAGGAAATGATCTGAAACTTATTTAACTCAATTAAAGAGCCTCAAGAAGGCAATGTAAGGAATATCAATCTTATCTGCAACACAGCTGCCATTTAAAAGCAATCAAACATGGTCTGGGTGAGCATGTGTCACAAGTGCACGACGTCCCACAGGGTCGTTATAAAGCTCCCAGCGCTGCTGCAAGAGGGAGCTGGGTGGAAGGTGAAATCGGAGAGGGAAGCTGGTTCTGGAGAGGAGGATCCGTGTGGGGAGCGCTTGAATTGCATCTCCAGGAGGCCTCGCACCAGTATTTCTAAAACAAAACATTTCAGTTTGAAATCAGTCTTTTCAGTAAAAAGTCAAAGTGTAATGGGAAAAAAATGAGAATTGAGAAAGAAGTGCTTATCTCCCTCTTTTTTTCATGGGATTTTACATAGAGGATTAAAAAGGCCATTTTCCAAGCCGGAATAGTCATGCGATAGAATTAGGTCTGAACTGCCAAGCTGTGATGCTCAGTCTGAGTCCTCTTTTCTTCGTACCTGCCAGATAAAAGCAGTGGACAATGGCCGGCCCCAAAAATCTTCAACTGCACGCCTGCATATTGAGTGGATAAAAAAGCCTGCGCCCTCGCCCGTGCCCCTGACTTTCGATGAACCCTTTTACAACTTCACCATCATGGAAAGCGATAAAGTGACAGAAATCGTTGGGGTGGTCTCTGTGCAGCCATCTAACATTCCTCTCTGGTTTGATATTGTCGGTAAGTTGGGAGGCAGTGGCGTACGGAGGAAGCTTCAGAAGCAAAGCATATGGATGTGTGGTTTTGAGAGCAAGAAAACTAACCGTGAACTGTGCCCCCCCCACCCCCCAATTAAACCCACTTTCGTAATGCTGAAATGAAAATTCTATTTTAATATAGTTATAATAATAATAATATTCCTGCTTTTGTTATGACTCCTTAGCTAAGCTGAATAAAGAGCGCTGTATGGCTGAATTGTTTTTTTTCATACTATGTTATTTACTGCAATCTTAATGTTGTCTGTCATTTAAATTCTATTGTCATACTTTGCTAATCTCATTTCTAAATGTATTTATGGTACTTAGACTTGCTGTCCCTCATTTCTCTCTTTCTTCACCTTTTTTTCTGCATTCTGTTCTTTTTTTTCTGCTTCCGACTGCCCTGCTTCAAGGTGGCAAGCATGCTCGAGAGATGTTCTATATTCTACAGACAGCTTGTGGGCAGAACTGTTCAACAGAAGGTACCCTTAGTGCAAACACATTTGCTAAAATACAACTATCCAGGCTGCCTTTTATTTTTGCAAGTTCTTTGAGACAATTTATATTACAACTTTCATAAGTGCCTGTGACAGGATGCGATGCGACACATGGATGTGCTGCGTTTCTTTCTATGACAGCTTTTACCGTATTTGTGTCCAATTATTATCATTTTATTCACGGATTTTCCACAGTTTATCACAAATAATTAATTCAAACTTTTCACAGTCCAGTGCCATCCATTTAACTGTGAAACAGAATGGGATGCATCAACATATGGGTTACAAATGAAGCCACCAAAAGTATGTCTTGAATGCAAGCTGAAAAAAGAGAAATGTGTTTTGATGTGAGATTTCAACCACAAAATTGCCTTACATAAAATTACTTATAAAAATAGGGAGGGGGAAATATCCTTAGCAAAGAGGAGGAGAAGCCGTAGTAGTGGTCTTAAAAACGCAGGGAAATCCCACTAAGGATGTAGTTGCCCAAAAGACAGGGAGTAGAGGGTCTCACGTGGTTGCAGTGGAGAAACAGGAGTCAGTGTTCCTAAAAATTGTTTTCCTGCTTCTGCTGCTGATTCAGTTACGTTATTTAAAATAAGTAAGTCATTTAACATCTCCAAAATGAGACTTTCCCCAGCAGCACAACAACCCTGCAAAGTTATTGTGCTACTTAGTAATTGCAGATACTTGTGCGTAACGTTTGTATACCTTTGGATGTAAAACACTGTGTCTGCACAAAGAGGTGTTATTTAAATGAAGGGTTATAAAGCAAATACTGTATGAAAGATTAGAGAAAGAATAAAGCCTTTGCTGGAGACTTAGTGGAAAGGGTGCATCAGCAGTCTTTATTTACAGGGATTGAGCCTGGCTCTCATTTCAGCATAGCTATTTGCGAATGGGTTTAGCCAACAGGAAGGAAAAGGACCACAAGAGAAAGGGTCTGTCAGAGTCGTTTTCATCCACCTTTTATTGCCAATTTGTGCAGATGAAAGACAGAAGCAGCAACATTTCCTCTTTGAATTTGTAGCACGGTTTCTGATGTACCAACCACATTAAAATTGAACCCAAAGCTATTATAATATTCTAGGGCTCCTGCTGGCCCCTGGGGAGGGACACCATAGGTTTCCTGCAGTTTTCCTCCTATTCCCTTGGTTGTTTCAGTATGCTACATGCAATTTACTAGCTAATGTTTACATTCCCTTTCTCTTCCTCACTGACCCTAACTTTCCTCCCAGGAGAAATCCATCTTTATTGATGTTATTGACACTTTTTTCCCATTTGAACCTTTTGCTGGACTCCTCTGCCTTTCACAGCCTTTTGGTCCTTTCCTGGACGATTTCACAAACTCTCATTAAAATGCTGCCTGTGTTAAGCACTGAGAGAAGTCCCCGCTCTTC